GGTTATGCACTTTCAGCCTCTTCAATTCTCGGTATAGGTGTATGCGACCGCATAGTAGAAAGGCATGCGGCCGCATGGTTCCGTCAGACAGCTTTCAGTATTTTAATCATAACTTTCTTTCTCGACGTCCAATTGAGGTGATTCAAGTTTCATTGGATAGCTAACTCAAAGGGCCACAATTTTTATTCAGAAGTCATCTCCCAATTCGATCATCTTCCATGTCAAAAATGGGTCCCAACATGAGACTAAAAACTGGTGTGTTGGTTTTCGATTGGAAATTGATGTATTGATCAAACTTTGATGTTATTTCATCCCTTTGACTTCGTTCCTCATCCACTTGACCTCTAACACTTTCGAATCTTTATCATAATCTTGGACACAAGTTTGGATCATTTGCACTTTAGTCCTCGAACTTTCGTTCTCTTCTACTTTGGTCATTTTTCACTTGTTTCTTCCGAATTTCATCTTTTTCACCAAAATGCAACCTAAACCAAAATATAAGAGTAATGAGTGCATTTTGGCATAATATAATCACATGAATGCAATAGTTAAGAGGGGAAAATATGGTATTTTACACTCTTATCAAGTAACAATATATATAACTTGATGCTCTCCAACAAGATCTTCACGATCCTCATCATCGTTTTTTACTACAATCACTTTGCTTATGGGCTTGAGAGGCTGAAATTTGATGGTTTGGTGCTTTTTGGACGTGTAAAGGTTTAGTGTATGAATTACCATGGAAGAGCAATCTAATCATGGATTGATTGGCTTATGAAATTAAATTAATTGTTAGTAAGTGACGGTCTAAGGTATTATGTAAATGATATACATACAGTTTATCTAACATCTTAAGTTTTTAGATTAAGTAGTTCAACATTCTCATTGTCACATATTTGAATAAAATAGTTCATGTGTTAAACTTCAATTGAAAAAAATGAATTAGGATACACATGAGAGGGCATATTGAAGATGATATTTAAATACTGTACATTTTACATCATCAAACAATTTAAGCTTCTAGATGTAGTGGTACAGCAATGACAATTGACATTTTTTTTAATTCAATTTGGTTACAGTTTAGTTAAGATACTAAGCCCTATTTTAGCCCCATTTTGGTAAGAAAATATATTTTTGAATACTGATTTTTGGAGAACGTATAGTTAAAAAAGAAGGAAAATTTTCGATTTACATGTAAAATTATTTATGGGAGAATGTGTGGTTGAAAATAAGTTTTTCCAAAAATGGGACCAAGCATATGCTAAAACTTAAACCTAGTTATTTCAAAGCCTTTTTTATTGAGGGATCCACATGGCCTAGACATGCAACTCCAAAAAAGAGTTACGATTCGAATTCTAATTTGAGGGCTTTTGCTTATAACCCTATTCCCAATGGTTTTTGCTAGGTCTGCAGTGATATGAATAAACAAGATGTTGTATAATGAACCCAAATAGAAATATTTAAAAGAAATCTTCATTGTGGTGAATGTGGCTTCCATCACCGTGAAAATCGTTTGAGCCCTATTGAAATTCCTTGGTTTCATCATTAAGAGTTTATGTTGATCCATACTATCTGTAAAACTCAATAAGAGCACTGGCTAATATTCCAAGACACAAGATGAACTTGTTCAGTCCACATCTCACAGCTCTAGGATTCAATTTCTCATTAGAGGTCCCCATTACATAATGATTGGATTTTCCTATTGTTTCCATAGGAATCACCGTGGAAATCCCACATGGGGTCAAGTGACACCACAAATTTTATTTTATTTTTTTCAAAATTTTTTTAGTTGCTGAAGTTCTTGTTCAAACTTCAAACTCTTACTTTCTAGATTTAATACATTTTACTTGATACTATTAATTTTATTTTTATTTTTTTATATTTGCTTTTACAAATGAAAGGGGAGTTCATAAATGGAGTTTAATAATGTGTCTTATTTTATTGAAGAATCTTGAATTTTACAGTGGTTATTCTTAGGTTTTGAATTCTTCAAGTGTATCTACACTTGTGCCTCCTCTCCGGATTGATTGAGATGTTTAAGGATTTTGGCAAACAGTTCGTAGGATTATATCAAGTCTTGTAAATGATCTAACACTAAAGTACAAGTGTGATCCTCCAAAACTTTAAGAATACAAGGAAAAAAGAGTATGAATGTGAATCAAGAATTGGATATTTTATATTGGAATGAATATGAATCACAAATGTTTCTCACTTGTTTTTGGCTTAAGATGTATCACCTATATATAAGTCACTACTAATGTGTACGAATTGGTGCCAAAATAAGTTGAAAAGCCACTACAATTCGGAGTTGTAGCGGTAGGAAACCGACCTCCAATGGTCAATTTTGTATAACTATACAACAGCATAGAACAAACCAAAAAGGCCCCAGAATTTCTTGCAATAGGCCATGCGACTGCATAGAACAATGTTTTGCCTCTAATACCATTTTTCGTTTTTTCTTCATATTTATTCATCCCATTTCATTTTTCTTGAATGTTGAACAACATTTCAACAATCCCTACTTGTTCAAAATTCGAGAAAAAATTATCATACTCAAATCATACGATACTCATGCATAAGAACTAGATATCTTTTGATTTGAATCTAGCCATAGTGCAATTCAAACAAAGTA